TTCTCCGCGCTCGCTGTTGTCGCCCTGTTGATGACGTCAGCGACGCGGTTTAATCGGGCGCGCTTTAGTCGAGTGCGGTTTTGTCGTGCCACGTATTGTAACTACTCATTAATTTTCAAACTGTCGATTTATCAAGCCCGATCACATAGTTTCGTAGTGGATCACGGGTATTCAGCTAGTAATAAATATTCCTGCATTGAGGTAAACGTCTCTCTGATTTTATTTTTTGGCAGTTGAGCTAGCCATGTATGACTCTGAGCTTCACATTGAATGTCAGGCCATTCACAGTTTTTGTAAGCGGTATAAATTCTACCTGTCATCTTGTTTCCTTCAGCTGGAAGATAAAGTCATGGACTGGCAATCTTCCCCTGCCAGCACATTAAACAGCTGGTTCTCCTTTGCCCCCAACTGGTCAGAACTGGTTTTACCTGCCTTGCAATATCTCACTGGAGTCAGCAGAGGTGAGACACCTTTTTTTTTTGGTGATCATCCAAAACAACTGATTCTATTAAAGCTGAAAGTGAGCAGTTACTTGGTGCTCACCAACAATTTAAGCTAACTGAACAAGTGTTAAACAAGTGATGCTTATGTACTTTGGCTGGGATTTGCTTATATCTAATCTGTGCTTGTGGTTTGATTTTGTTTTATGCAAGCCACTTAATGTCAAAGAGTAGCAGCTGTCAGAATAAACACCTTGCTGATATCATACTTAACCTTTTTCTCAGATTCATTCAGTTAAAACAACCTTTTGATCTTGAAGAAATGTGTTCAAAAACTTTATTCCACATTATAAAAAATAGAGAACAATATTTTTCGATCTGGGTGTTTCATGTTGTCAAATCAGTGTGGCTTTAGATACCGTATTAAAATAAATCTTTCACAAATAAAAAAAAATCTTATGCCTGGAAGAGTTGTGTTATATGTTTCCAATTTTGTGTTGTACTATTACTTTCTTGCCAGGCTTTAAATATCATTTTTCTTGTGGATTGCCTTGTAATGGAAAATACAGATTTCCCGAGTGTAGTGATGCATCCAGCTGCAGTTCAAACTAGGATAGAAATCCATAGATTTAATTAGAAAGTTTTTGGATAGGGCATGCCTGACAGTTTATAGAAGGACACTCATGAACAATGATCAAACTTCACATTTTTGATAGATTGACCATTAATCCAGTGCTACAGTCTGAAGTGATTTAAAAATACATTACAGTCGTGCCTAAGCCTAGCAAAATGTTTTTGTTACAGATGCTTCTTCCAGTTTTTCTCCTTTTGTGGAATTCAAGGAAAAAACTCAGCATTGGAAACTTATAGGTAAAGTAGCTAAGCTTCCTTCTCCACTCTTTATTAAATCTTGTCATCCAGATAGATTTGTATACATTTACTTTTATCTTTGTTGGGACGCGGTAGCGTCCCAACAAAGCTCAGTGGCTAAGAGTTTGCTGAGTTTGTCGGTCAGAAAGGTCGACAGTTCAGCAGTTCGAATCCCTAGCGCCCCATAACGGAGTGAGCTCCCATTACTTGTCCCAGCTTCTGCCAACCTAGCAGTTTGAAAGTATGTAAAAATGCAAGTAAAAAAATAGGAACCACCTTTGGTGGGAAGGTAAACAGTGTTCCGTGCACCTTCATCATTCAGTCCTGCCAACCATAGAGACATCTTCAGACATCCCTGGCTCATTGGTTTTGAAACAGAGATGAGCACCGCCCCCTAGAGTCGGGAACGACTAGCACATATGTGTGAGGGGAACCTTTACCTTTACTTTTATCTTTCCTAATTTCTGTTGTGGCAGAAATGCATATTATTTCCCCACTTTTCCATTCTTGATAGCAGGAGAATCAGGTGATGGAGGGTGGGGTATCCCAGCATCTATAGTGTAGCTGTTGTAGTGTAAGGGCTTAGTGATAGATGATAATCTGTGTGGCTTGTTCTCTTCTCTAGGCTCTTCCCAGGATCATGAGAAGGAGCTAGCAGCTCTCTTCCAACTTTGGTTGGAGACTAAAGACCAAGTTTTCTTCAAGGTGCGACCAACATTTATTTCAACTGGCACAAGTCCGGCTGATTTATCCATCGGGTCTCATAGTCTTCCTTTCTCTTTTTTCAGGACAACGAAGATAGCTCAGATGCAACCACGCCAGTTCCACGAGTGTGAGTATTTATGGATTTCACAAGTCTTTTAAAAAAAGTGAACTTTGCCTAAGCCTTAAAATCAGTCTTGGTAGTCAACATTAAATATAGGAAGTCCTTGGCTTACAACAGTTCATTTACTGACCATTCAAAGTTACAAAACCACTGAAAAATGTGACTTGTAACCATTTTTCGCACAACCGTTGCGGCATCCTCATGGTCACATGGTTAAAATTCAGACGCTACACAATTGGTTCCTATTTACGGCGGCTGCAGTGTCCCGGGGTCATGTGATCATTTTTTGCAACCTTCTGACAAGCAAAGTCAATGGGGAAGCCAGATTCACTTAACAGCTGTGTTACTAACTTAAAGACTACAATGAGTCACTTAACAACTGTGGCAAGAAATGTCATAAAACGGGACAAAGCTAACAACAAATGTTTCACTTAGCAACATAATTTTTGGGCTCAGTTGTCATAACCCATGAACTATGTGTACAGTCTAAGAATATTCATGCTTGTACTGTTATTAATGAGCAATTCATGGGTACATTTTGCGGGCAAAAGTAAAAAAAATTTTTTTAAACAATTCAAAGAACTAGAACAATATTATTAGTGATTATCTTTTCTGTTTCTTGATTAATGATTTTCTAAAATTATGTTAATTCACAACCCCAGCATCCACAGAACACAGATGTCCAGTAAACTAAGAATAATTTAGAATTACATCCTTTGCATTTATTAATCCGCCAAGTGTCCAAATGAATGTTTCCCTCTTATCAGGTGCTTAAAAATGATAGGCATTCCTGTATTCATAATGCTCAAAATTGGTTTCTGTTTTTACTAAAATTGGCTCACATATATTTCCAATTAGTTTCTCTGACTTTCATCAATTTTTTTGATTCATATTAGTTTTAACAATGTAGCATAGCTGGCAAACAAAAAAAATCTTATCCTTTCTCATTATTATTAATTGCTGTCACTGGTTCTGAGCTTCTCTGTACAGCTAGTCCTCAACTTGCGACCAGTCAATAAGGGATCATTTGAAGTTAAGATCTAGTTATGATCCAGATACAAACTTCCAGTGCCTTTCCCCCTCCCCCCCCCCAATAGTCATGTAATTGCATTTTGGGCACTCAGCAACTGTTCCACATTTATGGCCGATTGGAGAGTCTTGTGGTCATGTGACTGTGATGTATAATTATTTTTTGGCATTTACTTCCAATTTCCTGCAAAAAAACGCCCATTGCGGACAATGGATTTTGTTATGATCACAGCATTCACTTAATAACCACAGTGATTAACTTAATGACTGCCACAAACAAGGTTGTGAAATTGAGTGTGGTGACCTGCTTCACAACCTGCACAACTTACAACTGTAATTCTGATGGTCACAAGTTGAGGGCTACCTGCAGTCATTCTGATCATTGAGTCTCACACTGTTGTCTGTTTCAGAAGGACAGACTACATAGTCCGACCTAGCACTGGAGAAGAAAAACGCGTTTTCCAAGAACAGGTAAGGTTAGCAAGGATTCATCCTCAGACATGTATGGAAAAAGCTACGGTTGGCAAGTACCATCGCAATGGGTCTTAAGTGCTTTCAGCCCTTTCCCCAGTCTCCAATAACATCATTATCCCTACGATAAAACCGGTGGCTTTGAACAAGCATCTTGGTACCAACAGTCCAAAACAATCTTTGAGTCACAGACAAGCAATCTCCAGAATATGCCCCAATTAACCCCAGTTTAAGAACACTATTGCTTTGCCTCAATTTTCAATTTTCCTCCGATTAATGAGATCAACATTTTGAATGCGTGCGCACGCGGACAGACACACACACACACTCTTATTTATTTATCTATCCACATTGCTCTGCTGTCTTCGTCTCTTGTGAATCTCTTACTTGGGTGTCCTTCATGCTTTTACCTCTGCAGGAACGGTATCGATACAGCCAACCTCACAAAGCTTTTACCTTCTGTATGCACGGCTTTGAGTCGGTGGTGGGCCCCGTGAAAGGAGTTTTTGATAAGGAAACTTCTCTAAACAAACCCCGGGAACATTCGCTATTGCGATCAGATAGACCTGCATACGTCACCATATTGTCTCTTGGTAAGTTTTGTGTGTGTGTGTGTGCGCGCGTGCGAGGGTGGGGGGGAGGGAAGAGGTTCTATAGAGACCGAATGAATTTTGCAGTGGGAGGAAATGAGTGATAACACAGCAGGACAGAATTGAATTTGGTTTTAGCTATGTTGTAAAGCCATCTTGAAAATTACCTGTTGAAAGATGGAATAAAAAAAATCCTAAATACATTATGATTCCAAGTTAATTTTTGAAATCAGCAAATCAACACCAAAAGAGAGAAGATAGCGAGAGGAACATAGAGTAGAGTAGTCTCATAGCTTTCAGAAAGTTCCAGAGGAAAGCCAGATATGTAGTACTACTTCATAGAGATATAGCCTACAGGTAGTCCTCGACGTATAACCGGACGCTTAGCGACTATTCACAGATACGATGGACCTCTCTAGGAGTACTTCGGACCCAGTTCAGAAATTTTGATCCACTCCCCATGATCAAATGAACGCATTTGGGTGCTTGACAACCAGTTCACACTTTTCGGCCATTTGCAGCCTCCTATAATCACAAGACCACATTTTACAACACTTTTGCTGAAAACTGGCATTTACTTCTAATTATCAGCAAAACTGTCCCTTAAAAATCAAATGGTTTGCTTAACAACGGATGGAAAAGTTGTAAAATTGGGTCAGTTGTGCAGGTGATGCCTTTACAACCTATGGACGTAACGGGCAGGTTCTAAAGCACGTGTGATCGGCGCAGGGAGCTGCAATTAGTAAAGCAGGTGAAGCGAGGAAGAGGTAAGAGAAGGCAGCAGCTGTTCCCGGTTGCCGTTTTGGCCTCTGCACCTCACATTTTTAGCCTCCAAACGCTCCAATCACCACCCAAAAATGCGACATCCAGAGGCAGCAATTGGCAGCGATGTGCTCTGCCGATCCCAGCAGCCTTGAATCGGACTCAAATGGAGCGTTTGGAGACTGAAAATGTGAGGCACGGAGCCCAGAAATGCAAGCCATTGTCTATGGTAATCCTGCAGCCAGGAAGAGGATGCGCGGAGACCAAAGGGTGGGGGCCGGCAGGTGGGCGGGTCTATATTTGGAGTTTAAGACGTACCCAAAATTTCAGCCTCTTTTAGGGGGGAAACGTGACTCTTATACTCCGAAAAACACAGTAGCTTTTGGAGACTGAAAGTTTCAGGCATCAAACCTTGCTCTATGTTGTAGAAAGCATAAACCAGAAATAATTTTGCCCGTCAAGATTCACTGGCTCCTAAATAACAGACAGCAGAAGAAGGACATAAAGAGATTCATCCTCTTGCGTCACATTAGTGTGTAACCTTAGGCGGCTTGAAAGCGGGAAATTCCTTCTCAGCCCCCAAATAGGAAGATTTCAGTCTTTTATATAGGAAACAGGTCATATATTTATGCATTTGAAGGAACAGAGAAGCAGAAGTAGAGAAGGAACCTATAAGTTGAGATCATAACTGATCCTAACAGTTACAGGGTTATTTTTGGAATCTGGATTGTCTGCATAACAGGAGGGGTCACCTGCAAAATCCTTTTAGTGGAAAGGAGAAAAACCAAGTCCCAAGTGGGGCTGAAGTGGGGAGGCCTTCAAATAAATGGCACAAGAATAGCTCGAGAGTTACCACTTCAGTCCTGGATTCTATCGGGACCCTGATTGCGCTTGGCCTTCTCTTGCTTTCTCAGTTCGGGATGCAGCTGCCCGTCTTCCAAATGGAGAGGGAACTCGTGCTGAAATTTGCGAGCTTCTGAAGGACTCACAGTTCCTTGCTCCTGATGTCACAAGTGCTCAGGTAAGCCATACTTGTTCAAGCCACCATACTGGCATCTCAGAATCCCCATAAATGTGTGTGTTTGTGTTTTTGTGTGTGTGTGTGTTCCAACTGAAAATAGCAACACATTGCAACCATTTGTAAAGGCTGTAGTTTAGTAGAATGTGAGCAGAGCTGCAGATTAGCTAATGGAGTTGCAAAAATGTGCTTTTATAAATTTTTGAATATTGTACCTCAGAGAAGCAGGGACACTACTGCAATTGGTTTTTCTTAGAATTGAAGCATCAATTAAAAAAAAATGTAGATATTAACAAGGGGTGTTTTCTGCAGATCTGAATATCCAGAGAGTTTTATGTGTGATTTTTTTAAAAATCCATCTTACCTCTTAGTTTCGAATGGTTTGGGTATCCAGTTCCTACTTGTGTGGCATATTTCTCATCCCTCAAAAACATTCTTTTCTGCACTTCCATAAGTCACTGATAGCCGGTTTCTACATTAACAAAAAGACTTTTTCACCCCTTAATTTCATGGTGACTCCTTTTCTTAGGTTAACACTGTGGTGAGTGGTGCTTTAGATCGGTTGCACTATGAGAAAGACCCCTGTGTAAAATACGATATTGGTCGCAAACTATGGATATATCTACACCGAGACAGGAGCGAAGAGGAGTTTGGTAGGTATTGGCTGGAGGGAACTAACTGTAGTTCATTGTAATGCTGTCAGTTTGATGCAAACATCCATCTTCTTTTGGAACACACTCGTTGCATTATAGAAATAAAAGAGGGGAAAATCTGGCTGCTGCTCTTTACCCTAAAGAAAGTCTTTGGTTCCTCAGATGGACCATTTGGATGTCAGTATACAGTCTGTATATATAGTCAATTTATGAACCCCATATATAAATCATGTATAAACCATTTATATATAGGGTACCCCATATACTGTATAAACAGTGTGTAAAACTGGATTCCTTCCTTCCTTCCTTCCCTTCCTTCCTTCCTTCCTTCCTTCCTTCCTTCCTTCCTTCTTCCTTCCCTCCCTCCCTTCCTTCCTTCCTAACATGTTTTGCCCCTGTTTACTATAAATGTTGCCATTGCTGAGAGGATACCCACAATTTTCCTCTTGTTATATTTGAATAGCCATT